ACGCGCGGGAAACTGCTCAGACACTCTGCAGAACTCGGCGGCCTGCTCGGCATAAACGCCAGCCAAATGATTGCCAACCTGCGCGTGCGGAATTGACGCAGGCAAGTACATCAGACATGTCAATGCGTGTGCTTTGACTTCACGAAGGCTGAGCTGCCCGAGGCCCCCCTGCCCTCGATGGCGCGCCGCGCAAGCTTCCAGATATCGGCCCAGGCGGCCCTGGATGATCAACAGGAAAGAGGGCCTCTCCCCCAGACGCCCTGGAAGGCAAAACTGGGGTCCGTCCACAAGGTCGCCCGAGGCATGGCCTGCTTGAGGCCCATCAGCAGGGCCCAGAACTCGCGCGCGCCGATATCGAACGAACCTGCTGGGGGCCCCCCTGCAACCACTGTGCGCGTCGCTCGCTCAGGGGGCAGGGCCGGACCACTGCGCGACAGAACGATGGCCCAGCCGAGCGAGCGAGCGGCGGGCGGAAGCTCAGAGTCGAACAAATCCCCATCAAGAAAACAGCCACCCCCGAGCTCCTCAGGGGCCCCGACAAGCCACAGCTCCTCAGAAGGAGAGGGGCGAGGAGGGACACGAGCAGGCAGCGGCGCAAGCAGCCTCTCAAGCAGGAGACGAACACGGGGATTACCTGCTGCTTGTACCATGGCCTGAGCGCACGCTGGCGGCTCCTGCCCCAAGCCAAGGATCTCTTGACGTCCCGCGCAGCTGAGATGCCTGTGCAGCTGGGGCAGCGCGGCACGCGCGACAGACCTGCCCCTGCGACACACCATGCTTGAACTGCCTGTCCTGCGGCCGCTGCCTCCCCGCAAAAAACGCCGATGACGCGCGCGCCCATGCTCTCTTGACTTCAACGTGCTGGACTTAATAGGCGCAAAAATAAAGGCTTGCTGGAAATCGGACATCTGGAAGCGATTGGCCACCTTCCCCCATAACCAACTGCCAATGCGGTGTCCAGAGCTTTCTTGACGGCCCGCGGGCACAACTGTTCAACCGAGAAGGCGCCCACGCGAATGTCGAGACGGAGCGCCGCGGCCACGGCAGCAGCAAACGCGCCGCGGACGCATTGCCAAGGCGAGCCGTGTTCCTGGAATGTTTGCCGCGCCCCTGCAAGACATTGCTCGGCCACGCCCCTCGGCGCCCGCCCGCCCCGGAGAGGGGGGGGGGGCGAAGGCGAGGGGAGGAGAGACGTTAAGATCGCACGCGGGATGTAAACGCTCGGCCTCAGTCAACTGCAGCACGAGAGCGGTGGACACACCTGGCAGACGCTGGCTCTGGACGCGCGCCCGCTGAAACCAAGCTTCCTTCAGCTCGCGCCCGCTGGCGCCCGCCACCCCCGACCCATAGGGGGCGGGGGCCTGCGCGGCAGCACGGGCAACGAGATGCATCTGAGACTTGCGCGAGCTCCCAGCCAGCATGAGAATCACATTGTGTCGAACCTTAGCAACAGCGCGCCTGCGCTTCATTGCGCGGCGCTTGACCACGCCGCCTGCTGCGCAATCTACGCCGTGGTCGCGCTCTGACTGTTCGCCGAGAACTCTCTCAGCACGAAGCGCAGCTGCCAACTGCGCGCGCAGCCGAGGGCAGGGCGCAAGCACCCCAGACTTGGGCCCATCGCGCATCACGCGCGTGGCCCGACACAAATGTCACGCAGCTCGTCGGAGGGGCCAACCTCGCACAACCCCGCGTCGTCCGCGACCGCCCCAATCTGCACCTCGCGGGCGGCGCGGAGAGGAAACGCAGCCTGGGCCGCGCCCGCCGGAGCGAACAACACTAACCGCAGCATGACGGCGGAGACATGACAGCCTGGCAGCGCGGCTTTCTCTGTGAGAGCGGGGGCCGGCGTGGCCCCAGCGCGGCCCAAGGCCCGCGGAGCCCTGTGTTTTTTGTTTTTTATATATACATATATATATATATATATAAGAGAGAGACGCTACTGCCTGAGGGGGAAATCCCGGGGACCGAGCCGCGATAAGCAGCTCCCCGTGTCTGACGATCTCGAAAGCTTTGCACAAACCTAACAGCGCGGTGCCCGCAGAAAGGTCGCCCCTGAGCCCACTCGGCGAAGACGGCTTGAACCCAGACGAGCCGATCCGAGCCCCTCCCCCGGGCCGACCACCAGAACTCACGCAAGTTGCACTGCGGCCAACGCCGATTGAGGGGGCGACGCAGACGACCTTGCACCATGGAGGCGGCGCGCACGGGCGCCATCGGTCGCAGCCACCCTGCGCGCTTCAAAATAAAGACGACTTTGGTCCACAACTGTGGCCAATCAAAACTACTCTCGAACGCGAGGATGAAATGCCTGAAACACAGGAGACCCGCATCGGGGAGCTGCCTCGGGGAGATCTGATCATGCCCCGCTCCGCTGCTGACCTTAAAACTGCGCAGGCAGGCCTTGAGCTCGTCTAGATCAAAGCTGGGTAAATGGCGTCCCATGTCCTCTGGCCAACGCAGCTCATCGCGCAGCCGCCACACCTCCCAGCGCGCCCCAAACTCAGCCACCAAGAGATCCATCTCTCGCTCCTGACTAGCAGGGGCAGGCGGCGACGAGCCGTCGTCCCGGAAGCGCGGGCTGCTATGCCAGGAAATGAAAGGCTTGGGCCAACTTAACAGAGCACCTCCCCCAGCATTGCTGCGAGACCTGACCCAGCTTCTCCAACTGGAGTCCCTCTGATGCCCGGCCGCTCGCGGATGTTTCGCCGAGAGCTGTCTGGCGCGGGCTGCGGCGAAACTCGCCCAGCTGGCTAAAGGCCTGCGCGACCAACCTCCACCAAATGGGGAACGGAAGAACGGGGATAGGGCAAAGCAGACGGCTTGCGCGCTGGCGCACGCCGACGAGGCAGAGCACGGGCCCTACCTTGGTAGATGTGCGCCTCGTCACTGGAAATCTGGTAGATGTCGCCGAACTCAAACCCCATGGCATTCACGAAACTCTCCCACAACTCCTGCGCGCCTACCCCGGCGAGCACCTTGTCCGTGGCATGGACCCACCGACCGCTGTACAGCTGTGCGCCGCGTGGCCGCTGGCGAGGGAACATCCTGGGCACTCGAACCCGAGGTAACGAGCGCAACTGCTTGAGACCTTGCAACGCCAGCCGAACAGGAAGATGAGGAGCCGTGCCTACGCCGGTGAGCACGCTGAGATGCTGCTGGCACTGCCAGCCGTCGGAGACGATGAAGTTACCCAACGCACGCCCAGAGCCGCCTGCACAGGTGGCTAGCGTAGGCGGCAGGACATGGCCCGAGATGGCTTCGAGCCAGCCTGAGCCCAGAAGCTCTTCTGGACTCAGGCCCCAGTCCCCTGGTAAAACGAACGGCAAACCGAACTGCCGGAGGACAGCACCCAGCTTGCACAGCAAGTGCCAGTTAAGCGCTGATACACCAAGAGAACCATGAAAATACATAAGTGTCCAGAGAATGCCACCTGGCACAACCCCAGACATGCGCCTGACTGCAATGCGCGCTGGCTCAAGCACTGGGTCCTGACCGACCAAGACTGAGAGCCCGTGCCGCTGCTGAGCCAACTGAAACAAAGACCGCCTGAAGCGCCACCTCGGCCTGTGGGCAGGGCTGCCGTGGCCGATGCTCTCCAACCCATATTGCGGAGCCGCTGCTCCCGCCACATGACCAAGTGGCGTTCTTGGATGCCGACGGCGTCCCTCGCACATGGCGAAGAACACCCACTGGCTAGACATGAGACTATGTGCGCGCCCGCTTCGCGGCGTTCTCCTGCATGGTTTGCAGCAGGTTGGTGAACAGGGCACGATTGATCTTGGGCCTGGTGGAGGAGGACGAGCTTCCATCGGCACTTGCACCTGCAACTGGTGTGGAATCGCTCTCGCCTTCCATGGCGTCGTCTTCGTCAACAGGGACGCCCTCCTGGGCCTTCAGGAACTCTGAGAAGAACTCAGGTGTGCCGAAATGCCCCCTGAAGGCAGCATCTGGCACAGCAGCCACACCAGCAGGAGAAAGCGGTTCACCTGCTGGGACTGGCTGCGTCGCCGCTGACTCCTGACGTTCACGCTCTGCCGCCTCGGCATCGGCGCGATGCTTCTCGAGCCGATATTTGACAGCCTGGGCGATGGGCTTGAGCGACTCGGCTGCGGCGGGCAGCACGCTGGCAAGACTACTGGCGAGACACTCGAGCTGTCCAAGAGGGCTGCCAGAGAGAACCCCGCCCACGCCGCCAAAGAGCCCGGCGTAGGCTGCCACAGCCTTGGCAGCCGCCGCGTCCGCCTTGGCTTTGCACTCCGCCAGGTTGATGGCAAAATGCTGCATATGTTCCATGGCGTTGGCCACCGCAGCCGCCGCCTTCTCATACGTGCTTTGAGCCTGCTCGAGCTGCTGCTGCTGCACTGCATCAGACGCCTGGCGAGCAGCGCGAACGGTGGGCACCGCCTCCCCAGCTTGCAAGTTGCGAGCTGCAGTGACCCGAGCAAGATTCTTCGGAGGCAAACCTGTAGCAACAACACCGAAACCAACTTGAGACATCTCGACATATACAACGACCAGCGCTTCAGACAAGACAGGAGGAATAGGCCCAGGACGAGGGGGGCCATCCTTCCAATGACCTGCAGGGTTTCGATGCACCATGTCTGGCTTCGGCTTGTTGGGCTCAGACCCGCAGATGCGGCATCAGGCCCTCCACCCGAAGTTGCCTTTGTACCCGCACCCTTTGTTGGTGCACGTCCATGTGTGAGAGACAGTACAACTCATGTCGAGTGAGCGCAAACAAAAAACAACAGGAAGTTGTTCTACAGAACAGCTGTGCCTGGCGACTGCCAGAGTGAAAGGTCGGGGCCACGAATCCCCACGCCAAAATGCAAAGGTCACTGAGCCACACGCTACGGACCTTGAACCAAAATGGCTACGGACCATACTCCCTCTCCCCCTCCTCCTCTTCCTCCTCCTCTCTCGCCTCCCTCCTCGTAGCCGCATTCCTGCTCCCTCACCCTGGGACCACACCTGCAAAGGGGGGGCAGCGGTGGCCCCGCCGCGTACCGGATGTTGCACTCACCAACCACGCCCAGGTGGCGCACCACCTGGCACGGCGCTCCGCGAAAAGGGAGAGGACTATCACCTAGACTAGCAAAATACGAGACCTTCCAAACCAAGCAACAGGAGGGCGGTCTTCAACTGTGCAAGAACCTTGGCGGCGCTCCTGCAAGGGTACCCTTGAGCTGAGGAAGTCAAAAACGACACCAAGAATGGCCAGAGCCGAAGGGTGCATGGTGCCCTTGCGAAGAAGGCTCAGCCTTACCGCAGATGTTGCCTGCAATACCCCGCATGGCTGCGACCGCCCCTCCCCCCTTCCGTGAGCGCCGCCTACCTCAAGGGCCCGTGGGCCAACGAAGCTGAGGACACCGGCAGCGTCCTCCAACCACCCGGGAGGCCTTGGTGGGCGAGCCAAGGAGGGGGGACGGGAGGGAAGAAGAGGAGGTTGGGGGAGGGGTAGAATATGCCACGTCTCGAATGCAAGGGTCCGCGCGGCGCCAAAAAAGAGGACGAAAGCTCGAAGAAAAAAAAACGTCCTGGAGCCTCCTGGGGCTGCTTTCTGCCGGAGGGCGCCCCGAGACCCGTCCGTGGGATCCACCCGGAAGAGGTGCAAAGGAAGGGGCGAAGGAAGGACACGGAATCATTGACGCCGCGCTGCCCGTCACGCGGGGTGCCAAGCGCGGCGACCTTCGAGCCCTCGGGCCGCCAGCCAGGAAGTTGCAGCGATGGGGGCCGCGTGTGAGTTCGGATCGCCGAAGGCATCGTGAGTGGGCGTCAAATCGATCACGCGCACAGACATCGAAAGTGCCCTGGGACAAAAAAAACATGGCGGCATTTGTCCTATCCGAGTCTCTATTATCTTCGGCGCTGTGCGCGAAATCCCGCGAGGCAACGGAATCACCAGCACCCAACGCAGAAGGCGGCACATTCGCACGAGGCGGGGTGGTTGCGATCTGGGCAAGGCTGGGGGCCACGAGGGATGCTGCCAGCGATAAGAAAGAAAGGCTGGTAACCTGTGTGAAGGAAGACTTGACCGAAAGGCCTATCCCATCCTGGGCATCCAGTGGGTAAGGCGTTAGCAACGAATAGAAGACAACGATGAAGATTCTAGCCCTTCCCCACTCGTCCACAATTTTTTTTGTATGTGCTGATGTCTGCAAGCCAGGAAGGGCAGCGGCACAGTAAGGAGTAGGAAAGGTACGGGGATCATTCACAAGTCGTTCCCTCTTCCTCCGTATCCAACATGCTCCTCTGACAATACATATTCCATATGTGATGCCTCCCCCTCCACTCCTTCCCTCTCTTCCACTTTGAGGTTGGAACACGTATCCTGCCCGTCTACTTGGGAGGGCGCTACCGAGCCATACCGAGGAGGACGCCCACGGTGGTTGGGCAGCGAAGATGCGAGTCGCCGTCTACCCTCTGATGGTGGAGCTGCTCATCATCCCTCTCTCTTCGGCGTCCCCCTCCTCCCCATTTCCCTTTCCGCCTGCCGTGAGCCTCCATTCAACGATGTACAGACTAGGGTTGTCCTCCTCCTCCTCCTCCTCCTCCTTCTCCCCCTCCTCCTTCTCCCCCTCCTGCTCCTCCTCCTCCCCCTCCTGCTCCATCCCCGGGTACGTCTGACTGGAATTTTAAGACGAGTCCAGCCGTGGCGACAGGAAGCCTCCCAAGGGCCCGAGATCGGCGAGCCGACACCCGAAAAACTCACCGCGATCTCCCCCCCACTTCCACACCCCTCGCCGCCTTCAAGGCGCACTCCCGCAGCCTGTAGTATTCGGAGTTTGTGAGCGTCTGGGAGGGAGCGATAACGATGGAATCGCCTGCAGGCGGGGCAGGGCGGCAAACCCAACCCCTCGGGAGTCTCCAGAGGACTGCCCTTAACCGTTTCACTCGGGGCTCATGAAGGCTCCTGGAACACATTATTCGAGTGGCCTCCCAGCCAACTCTCTGGATAAAACCGAAGCCCCCGACTCGGTGGGGGGCTCTCCGCTTCGACACTTACACTCCTCCGAAAGGCATCTGAGATGCCATTTACCCTCCAGCGTCCAACACCCGCATACCCTGCAAACCCAGAGGCTTCTACACAGTCAAGCTCACAGGGGGCAAAAGGGAGGCGAGGGGGAAAGAGAGAGAAGTAGGACGACGAACGCCAATAGAAGTATGTCTACAGGCTCTGCTCAACATGGCCCTTCGACACATGGGGAGGAGGAGGATCGGGAGAAGGAGGAGGAGGAGGAGGAGGAGAGCAAGAGAACGAATAATCGAGGGTCGAGTACCAAGACCAGGCTGGGAATTAACTCTCCTTTCGGCCTCGGAAGCCTTCCAAATTTCTCCGGGAACATAAAAAAAACATATTACTGAGGCCTCTCGAGCCTCGAGACTTCAAGACAGCTCCGGAGACCTCCAGGGGCAGGTGGAAGGAGCGAGGGAGGAAGCACGGAGTGATGGAGGGACGCGTGCTCTTGGCAAAGTTTGGGCTGAGAGCGATCTTGGTCGATTTCTGGAGGTTTCCGTGGGCACGAGCGTGGATGGAGGAGGTGTCCAGTAGCGTCACCACTCCTCCTAATTGCCCGTCGTCCCTCGTTCGCTCCATCTCCCCGTCCTCTCCACTCATGCTCCCCCTTGCCACTTCTCACCATTCCCCCCTCCAAACATACTTTTAAGTGTCGCTTGTAATACTATCGTAGAGGCATGCACAGGGAAAGCGAATCAACTAGACTACTTCTCGGCAAAAATGGCAAACATAAATGTTGTTCGATGGTTGAATCGAAAAGACGCCGAAAGCAGACTGCAATACGGAAAACAAGAACGAGTCATACTTGTTAGCCAACCGCAGCATACTTGTTGGCCAACCTCTGCGTGCACGGACAATTTTAGAACCAGCGGCACGTTCGCCCTCGTATCTGCCACCTTGCCTTACGCACGCAGTGAAGTGTCCCACTGCTCATGCAATTGTTCGGCGTACAGGAACTCTCGATTTGCAATGTTGGTTGATTCTGATCTGCACAGCCGCCCTTATGCCAAAAACGCACGGGCGCTCCTAAGGTGTCTCGACGTGCGCCAGGCGAGCTTGTTCAAGGGCCAGGGGGCTCCGAAACAGGCCAAGAAGGCTCCAAGAAGCCTCCAAAATCCAAGAGCACCCCAGGACGGCCCAAGATCGCTTCCAAACGCACAGGATGGCCCAGCACGGCCTGAGACTTCCTCCAAATTCAGGCTTGAGGAGCCCAAAAGTGACGACAGTTACAGGATCCCGATGACCCGCTCGGATTACCAACATGATCTGCGGGCCCCATAGGGAGGGAGCTCCCGCCTGAGACTTCCTCCCAATTCACTCACAGACGAGGCTCCCGCCTGAGACTTCCTCCATTTTCAGGCCTGGGAGCTCAAAAGTGACGACAGTTACAGGATCCCGATGACCCGCTCGGATTACCAACATGATCTGCGGGCCCCATAGGGAGGGGGCTCCCGCCTGAGACTTCCTCACAATTTACTCAACGATGATGAGGATGAGGATGATGAGTGGTGGTGAAGATGAGTGGTGGCGATGATGATGTTTGAATGAGGATGATGCCGATGCCGATGATGATGATGATGTTCGTGAGCGTGTGAGAGAGTGCGAGTGATGATGATGATGAGTATGTGAGTGAGGCACCCATGAGGGCCTCAAGACTGCCCAAGAGGGCCCAAGAAGGCCCAAGGGGACCCCAAGGCGGTCTAAGAGGGCCTCCAGAGGAGCCCAGTAGGGGCCCAAGAAGGAAGACACGAACCTGTATTTCGAGCCCTCTGCCCCGAGACGGCCCTGGAGATCGCCAGCAGGCCCCCAAGAGACCCTCAAGAGGCCCCAAGAAGCCCCCAGCGAGGTCCCCAAGAGGCCCCTGGGAGCTTCAGAAACGCCCCAACGAGGCCCCCCCAAACTGGCCCCAGAGAGCCCTCCGAGATGCCCCCGAGAGGCGTCGCGCAGCAGTGGCAGCGGGCCCGCGGCGAAACGTCAGCGATCAGACAATCTGGGCCGGCGGATTGAGCGAAGCGATCGAGTGCAACTTTGGCGTGACATTTCCTTACTGTGACCCACTGATGCTCGCACTGTCCACTTCTTCCCATCGCAGGCTTCTCACCGTCATTTCGCAGGATTCAAGCCGTGCGACAGCGACCATGTTTCAAAAGCAGAGGGGCGGCGGTGTCCGCCCCCTCGGGGGCGTTCAGTGGAATATAACTTTCGTTTGGAGCTTTCCCCCCTCCCCATGGCCAGAAATCTATTTTTTTTCAGCGGATGGAGGGCGGCCCCTTTTCAAAGCGGGGCTCTCTCTGGACACTTCCTCGGACATGGTGATCCTACCTCGTCGCCGTCCTCGTAGCTACTCCTTCTCAAAACGGGGCTACCCCCCGAATAGGCAAGACCGTGGGACGCTCGTCTTTCAAACGGGCAGTTCCCGCAGTGCACAGGATCTCCTGTAGGGACTAATGCGGCGGAAACTTGGGACTGGTGGGATATTGCAGCATCGTTGAATCACCTAGGGCTTAAATCTGGTCCTCCTCCTTCTCCTTCCCCTCCTCCCTCCAGGCCTCACCAGTCGACCTCCAGACCTCTCCTGGGGCGCGTGCCTAGCCAGAACCTCGAGGCAGATCCAGGTGTGGCGACGAGGGGGCCCAGAATGGTGCCCCGCGCAGCAGAAAGCCTCGATGTCCAGGAGCCTCGCTCCTCGAACCCTGGCCCTCCCCAAGCCGCGGCTGGTGGGCCGAACGAGAGTGAGCGAGCGAGCGAGCGGGTGTTCGAACGGCCGCCCGCTCCCTCGAGCGAGCCGCTCGCTCGACCGCCCGCTCGCTCGACCCTGCCTCCGCGCTCGCCGACGTGCTCGCTCGCTTGCTCGCTCGAGCGCCCGAGCGAGCGGGCGAGAGGCGCAAGGTGCGCGTCTCCTCGTGCAGGACATCGCCGGTGCAGAACATATCCGAGGCCACGGCCCACCGGGTCGCAACTGTTGGCTGGTGGGTGGGTTCGTAGAGAGGGGGAGGAGGAGGAGGAGGAGGAGGAGGAGGAGGAGGAGGAGGAGGAGGAGGAGGAGGAGGCGGAGGCGGAGGCGGAGGCGGAGGCGGAGGCGGCGGAGGCACCAGAGCATCGAGGAAGGCGCCCCACGTCCGAGCCGAAACGAACTGCACGCACCACGTCGCGGTTGCGGCCACTGACGCGGCTGCCCCAGCAGTACTTCGCAACCAATGATGCTGGTCCTGAGAGAAGCGGGTCCTGGATCCCAGGGGCCTTCCTCCGGGACCAGTTGTTCACGCTGAATCTTTTTCTGACAGTCCCGGTGCCTGGGTAGGGTTCCTGGAGGCCAGAAGCGGCGAAAGACCTCATGACCCGTTTCCTTTATTTCTTTGTTTCAATACACATACATATATACATACATACATACACACATGCATACATACATGCATACATGCATACATGCATACATACATACATACAGACACACCTACCTACCTACCTACCTACCTACCTACCTACCGACCTACCTACCTACATCCATCCATCCATCCATCCATCCATCCATCCATCCATCCATCCATCCATCCATCCATCCATCCATACATACATACATACATACATACATACATACATACATACATACATACATACAGACACACATACATACATACATGCATACATACATACATACATACATCCATCCATACATACATACATACACACGCATACATACATACATACATACATACATACATACATACATACATACATGCATACATACATACATGCATACATGCATACATACATACATACATACATACACACGCATACAGGTATACAGACATACATACATACATACATACATACATACATACATACATACATACATATATATATATATATATACATACATACATACATACATACATACATACATACATACATACATACACACACATACATACATACATACATACACACACATACACACACATACATACACACACATACATACATGCATCCATCCATCCATCCATACATACATCCAGACATACATAAACACATACATGCATACATACATACACATACACGCATCCATACATAGTTTATGTATATATATACATATGATGTTCCGGCCATTGACACAAGCATCGGTGGGACATATGTATGCTTGAAGTGATCCAGCCACGGGTCTGGCGTCAAGACACAAGCTGGCACACAGGAGGAAGAGCAACGAGGAGGAGAAGAGGGACGGAGAGAATGCAGCGGGCAAGTACAAGAACTCCTAAGTAAAACCTCAGGACCCCAGCGGCCTTCCTGTGGAACCCCAGCGGCCTTCCTCCGGGACCCGCTCTTCATCCGAAGCAGTTTTCTGATAGTCCCAGGGCCAGGGGAGGGTCCCTGGAGGTCGAAAACAGTGAAAAACCTCAGGACCCGATGATGACGATTACGATGACGACGATGACGATGATGTCGATGACGACGGCGATGACGACGATAATGGCGATGACGACGACGAAGGGGAGGCCGAAGACGGCGAAAGACCTCAATAGCCGTTGCCCTCAAGACCCGTCGACTTCACGGCAACGGTGTGACGGGTGAGCCGCCCCGCCGCCAACGCGCTGGCGCGCGCGCGGCGGCCTCCACCCTTGCCGACAACTCCTCCAATGCCCCGGTGTCTGCCTGGGGCCGGGCGCTCCCGCCGAGGCCGCAGAGGGGACGGAGGAGGAGGAGGAGGAGGCGGAGAAGGAGGAGGAGGAGGAGGAGGAGGCGGAGAAGGAGGAGGAGGAGGAGGGAGGAGGGGGAGGAGGTGGAAGGAGGAGGAGGAGGAGGAGGAGGGAGGAGGAGAGGAGAGGGAGGAGGAGGAGGAGGAGAAGGGAGCAAGGAAGGAAGGAGGAGGAGAAGGAGGAGGAGGAAGAGGAGGAGGATGAGAGGGAAGAGGAGGAAGAGGAGGAGGAGGAGGAGGAGGACCAGAGTAAACCCGATTTGCATCAAGCGACGCTGCAATACACCTTCCCTTCCCACATTGAATGACGAGCGGCCGGTCGGTCCGCCAATAAAAAGAGGGCGCCTGTTTCAACATATCCACGCCCTATTGTATGGACGCCCCGGGTAGCCCCATTTTGAAAAGCAGATGCCATCCATCCGTCTAAGCTTTGCAGGGTGTCAAAGTCGTGGACGTAAGCTCCGCGGAAATTCCACGCGAGAGCCCCACAAGGAGACCAGACGATATCCTCATTGTGGAAAGAACGAAGCCCCCCATCGTTCTAGGCGTTGCAAGATGCCCAAATCGTGGACGTATGCAACGAGTCAGTATCACGCGAAAACCCCCTTTCGAAAGAAGAACCGCTCTCCATCCGTGTTAGCTGTTGCACACCGTGGAACGCCGGGTCGTAGAGGTCGAGGAGAGCCCAAGTGAATGTAGATGGTGGAGTTCGTATTCGGAGGCGCGCGAGGCTAAGAGGAGACCCCAATAGAGTGGGGGCGTTCGTTAAGAAACATGCCCAGGAGGTTGCAGACCATGGAGGGTTTTTATCTGATGCGGGCGGCGGTGATATCCATGGCCGATATTGGAGTTTCACCGGCTTCCAGACCCTGGACTCCTTGTCTAAGGGTTCCTTGTCCAATGACCCCAGCCGTCTTGGAAAGGCCTCGCCATCCACTCGCGCAGCTAACGACAATTTGGACGCCGAGTATGCGCGGCGCCAGGGCGAGAGCCCCTTTTCGAAAACGGCCTGCTGGACGACTGGTGTAAACCCAAGGAGCATCATCGATGTTGCAACTCGCCCTCCCTCCAAGCTCCCTCTCCACAGGTCCCTGCGAGAATTGTTTTGAGTGCTGGAAATACCCCGTTGGAAGACAACCATCTGAGAATTCTCAATCGTGCCAGATCACAACTCGTTGGACTTCAACGCCACACGCCAACTTTACTGTTGCGTCCTGACGATCCTGCATCGCGCCAAAACACCGTTCCTGGGACTGCAACACAGCGAATCAAAGGGACTGTCGCGCCCGGCTAGCCCAAGCAATGCCGGAACACCATTTCTGGGAAGCCAGCCATACAAATCCATTAAACTGGTGTAAGCTTTCCACACCAATGTGCGCGGCGCTTAGGCGAGAACCGAATGCTGAAAACGACCCCCCCCTCCATCGGGGAACCTCTTGCAACCTTTTACGACGAATGTGCGCGGCGCTAAGGCAAGAACCACAGTTTGAAAACGCCGCGCCTTCCGTCCGTGAAACTCTTGTGAAATTTTGGGGCGGATATGCGCGGCGCAAAAACGAACATCACACTTGAAAAACGACCCGCCAAGGAGAATGTGCGCGGCGCCAAGGCTAAAGCGAAAACCACATTTTGAAAACGACCCGCCCTCCATCCGTGAAACTCTTGCAGACTTCAACAGCGAATGTACGCGGCGCTACTGAAAAAAACCGCATTATGAAAACGACCCATCCATGAAACTCATGCAAGCTTTTACAAAGAATGTGCGCGGCGCTGAGGTGAGAACTTAATTTTGAAAAGGAGCCGTCCTACATCCGTGAGGCTCTCGCAAACCTTTACAACGTTCCGCGCGGTGTTGGGGCAAGAGCCACATCTTGGAAACGACCCGCCCTCCATCCGTCAAACTCTTGCACACTTTGATAACGAATGCGTGCGGCGCTAAGGCGGGAACTACACTTTGAAAACGACCCGGCCTCCATCCGTCAAACTCTTGCGATTTTGTATCACGAATGTTCGCGGCATTGGGGAGAGAACCCCATTTTGAAAAGGAGCCGGCCTCCATCCGTGATGCTCTTGCAGTCTTGTAGCGCGGATGGGGCGAAAACCACATTTTGTAAAGGAGCCGGCCTCCATCTGTGATGCTCTTGCAAGCTTGTAGGGCGGATGTGCACGGCGTTGGGACGATAACCACATTTTGTAAAGGAGCTGGCCTCCATCCGTGATACTTCTGCAAACTTGTAGGGCGAATGCGCGCGGCACTACATTTTGTATACGTTCTGGCCTCAATCCGGCAATTTTTTGTGATGAGTGTGCGCGGCGCGATTGCGAAGGCCACATTTTGAAAAGGACCCGCCGTCTATCCGCGAAGCTGTTGCAAATTCTGCACTTCAGAATCACAGGTGGTGGAAGACTCGCGCGAAACGCCCTGCCTGCCCTATCGACACGACTCGGGGTGCCACAGGGAGGACTCAGTCATAAGCAGGAGGAGGGAGGACCCATGGGTCAAGGCGTCGCAACACAAAAATGTGGTTGTCATTTTCTCTACGTCCTCCGCCTCTGAGGGCCGCTTCCAGGCCTTGAGGCCGTCAGAAAACGATTCGGGATAGCAAGCCGGCTCCGTGGATGATGTCGAAGTCTTCAGGGGCACTTTTCACGAAACAAGCGCGACTTCGGGGAAGGGGGAGACGGGGGAGGTGGAGGAGAAGGTGGAGGAGAAGGTGGAGGAAGAGGAGGAGGAAATGAGGAGCAGGAGAAAGACCAGTGTAAACCCAAGGCGCATTAACCATATTGCAATCAACCCTCCCTCCAAGTTCCCTCTTCCTAGGCCGTTACATGAATTATCTTTTTACTGAGGAAAGTGCACCGTTGGAAGACAACCATCTGAGACTCTTCAATCGTGCCAAAACACCATTCCTGGGACTTCAACGCCGCGAACCACCGTTACTGGGACTTCAACATCGCCACTCAACGTAATTGTTGCGCCCTGACAGTCCGACAGCGTGCCAACATACTATTACTGGGATGTTAATGATGAGAAACCTTTCAACGGTTGGGAACTCATGAAACGAATGTGCGCAACGCCATGGCAATAACCACAATATGAGAAGAACCCACCCTCCATCCGTGAAGCTCTTTTACGTTTAGAGAAATATGTGGGCGACGCTGAAGCGACAACCAGATTTTGAAAACGACAAGCCCTGCAAACTTTTACAACGAATGTGCGCGGCACCCAAGCGAGAACCACCCGCCCTGCACCCGTGAAACTGTTGCAAATGTTTATCACGAATGTCCGCGGCATTGGGGTGAGAACCACATTCTGAAAACGATCCACCCTCTATCCGTGAACTTTTTTTTTGTTTTGAAACATTTCTGAAACGAAGGTGCGTGGTGTTGGGGCGAATACCACATTTTGAAAACGCCCCGCCCTATATCCGTGAAGTTGTTGCAGGTTTAAAGCTTCAAGATCATACATGGTGAGGAATTCTCAGCCGAAGCGCCTGGCCCGCCTATTCGACCACCTCGGCGTGCTACAGGAGGAGGAGGAGGAGGAGAAGGAGGAGGAGGAGGAGGAGGAGGGGGGGAGGAGGAGGGGAGGAGGAAGGAGGAGGAGGAGGAGGAGGAGAAGGAGGAGGAGGAGGAGGGCGACACTGCGCTTTTAGTGGTCTTTGTCGTTTCTGGCCCTCCAGCAAGTCCCTCGTCGCAGCGGCTGGCTTCCCCTCGGACCTCAGGCGCCCCCCAAAGCACCCCGGGAGATGTCAGGGAGGAGGGCGGCCATGACCCCAAGCGTCTCGAGGGATCGCTCTGCAACGGTTTCGTCATGGTTGGGATCCGCTGGGCCGTTTCCTCTTCCTCCTCCTCCTCCTTTTCCTTCTCCTCCTGCTCCCCCTCTCCTTCTCCTCCCCCCTCTCCTCTTCCCCCTCCTTCTCCTCCTTCTCCTCCTCCTTTTCCTCCTCCTCGTCCTCCTCCTCCTCGTGCTCCCCACCCCCTCCCTCCTACCCCCCGCCGCCCCCTCATTCCTCCCCCCCGTCCCCTCTTCCTCCCCCCATCCTCCCTCCTCCTCCCTCCCACAAACGACTCATGATGAAAAGCCGACCCCAAAGGCCAACGACCCGAAAAAATAATCGACTCGGAGGGCAGGAGAGGAAGGCATCTGATCTCATAGTTTTCGGCCTTGTTTTCTGCTCCTGGGGGGCCTTCGAGGCCAGGACTGGACATCGCCCGAAAAACTGCTCAGGGTGGCGCCCACGAGGGGTCCAAGGATAGCGGCTTGAACCCGCATGGACATGCCCACCCAGACTTCGACATCTTGAAACAACCCGACACAATGTGAACTTCTGCGCGTGTTTGCCTCCTTTTCAATGCCCGCATCTCTCCCCCCGCAGCTCAGGCCAGCCCCTCTGCGGCGCGACAGTTTCAACGCATGAAGTATGTATGTGTACTTGTACATGTTCTTATACGGGCCTCTGAGAAGGAGTAGGGCTCAGAAGCGATTGATTGAGGCCGTGGCGTTTTGTCTGGCCGTTTCGCTTGGGACATCCCCTTACATTCATGATATCGGGCGGCCCCCTCATGGAGATTCCAGCGTCACCGTCTTAAAACACAATGGGTTCTCAGCATTTTTTATATGACACCATCACAAACACCATGGATTTCAATGTTCTTGGACGTCGCCCTTAGAACAGCAGTCATTTCGCGTGAAGGCCCTTTCCCACCGAAAAATTGGAAACCGACGCGTTCAAAATTGTCCTCGTATTTTTCAAAATGGTAATTTCGCTCAAAACATCCTCCACCAAGTGGCTTCGGATCTTATTTTGAACTGCGATCGCAATGTGTGGACCCCCCTCCGCCGCACGAGCGCACGCACACACGCACACGCACTTTTCGTCGGCGGCGAAGCAAAATGGCTGCGCCAGCGATAGGGCCAAACGGGGGCACCGAGAAGCGAATTGGCCAGCGTGCA